TCTCTCTCTCTGCCTTTCAATAAAGTGAAAAGTAATTTAAAATTTCAAAATATGCTCTATTGTCCTGTCGTCTCGTCCCCACAAATATTCAGACATGCCAATGCACCTGTCCTTCATTTTCACTCATGAAATACGGTCGCCCATAGTTGAATCCAAAAAAAAAAAAAAAAAGGATCCAAGCCTACCTTGCAAGGCAACTGGTCGACCAGGAGAAAAAAGCCATGAAGACACGTGGCACATATGCGGGCACTTTGTGGCCTCCCTCACAGGCCCCCCCCAACCCGCGTGCTCCCTCCTGCCTGTGGACCCCTGCCCTGAGCTGCAAGTGTCCAGCGGCAGGGCCTGAACCAAACGTACCAGGAGCAGGGCCTGGTGCCTGCACGCTCGGCAAGGCACCGCCCCAGGCAGTGGGCAGCGTCTCCACTCACAAAACCGCACTGGGAGGTCAGAGAAAGGGAGGAGGAGACTTGGCACTTCCTGAGACCGATGACTTACACACATTACCTTATTCCAAGTGGGATTCAAAAGCCCCGTGGAGAAGGCACCGCTCTGCAGTTTCACAAGAAGTAAGTGGCCCTTGTTATGGGGCGGGTGAGTGGCAGAGCCCGGATCTGAGCCCAGCTCCCTCTCGCTCTCGCGCTCTCTGACACTTCGCTACCAGCCTCCCTCCCCACCCCGCTGCAGGGAAAGCCTTGCTCACCAAAGCAGGTGGCACAGGGAATAGGCAATTACAAAGTCCCTGAGACCATACAAAGAGCAGGGCAGAAGGACCCCCTGCGCTGAGGATGGAGAGGCCCAGCCTCCCCTCCGGAGTAAGAGTCCCCCAGCCCCAACCTGGCCCCACGCCGTTAGAGCCCCTCCACTGCCTGGACACCAGGTGCCGCCTCGGTTACCGGGAGACACTATCGTCAGCTGCCAACCACGTCAGCAGCAGCCCGGAGGCCAGCGGCACAGATCACTTATCTGCCAAGGCCCAAGCTGCCCACCTTCTCATTTCCTGCCAGCTCTGTTTGCACATTTCCCTGCTTCCTCTGCACCCTGCCCACTGCCCCCCCCCCGTCTCCGTGGTGACGGTCCCCTGAGTGTCACAGACAACCCCTTCCCCACTACAGGAAGGAGCCCTGGCCCTGGTCCCCAAGCCTGTCATCCCCGGGTGACCTTGGGTAGTTCAGCTCTTGGCCTTGTTTTCCTTGCTTATAAAATAGAGATTAAAAACCACTGCCTGCCATGCCTGCCTTCCTCCTTCACGAACCGGGAAACAGTCAGCATAGAAAAGTGTATGTTTCAATGATTGAAAAAGCCTAGTTTGGGGCCAGTATCACGGTGTAGCAGGTAAAACCATCAGATGCCAACATCCCATATGGGCACCAGTTGGAGTCCCAGCTGCTTCACTTCCAATCCAGCTCTCTGCTATGGCCTGGGGAAGCAGTGGAAGATGGCCCAAGTGTTTGGACCCCTGCCTACCCACATCCGTGTAGCCCAGCCCTGGCCATTGCAGCCATCTGGGGAGTGAACCAGGGCATGAAAGATATCTCCCTGTCTCTCCCTCTCCTTCTGTAATGCTGACTTTCTAAATAAATAAATCTTAAAAAGAAAGAAAAAGGAAGGAAGGAGAGAGGGAGGGAGGGAGGAAAGGAGGGAGGGAGGGAGAGAGGAAGGAAGGAGGAAAAAGAAAGCCTAGTTTACAGGGCCGGCACTGTGGCGCAAATGGTAAAGCCGCCGCCTGCGGTGCCAGCACCGCCATATGGGTGCCAGTTCGAGTCTCGGCTGCTCTACTTCCAATCCAGCTCTCTGCTATGCCCTGGGAAAGCAATGGAAGATGACCTAAGTCCTTTGGCCCCTGCACCCACATGGGAGACCCTGAAGAAGTTCCTGGCTCTGGCTTCGGATCAGCACAGCTCCGGCTGTTGCAGCCATCTGGGGAGTGAACCAGCAGATGGAAGACCTCTCTCTCTCTCTGCCTCTGCATCTCTGTAACTGTGCCTTTCAAGTAAATAAAAAATTTTTAAAAAGAAAATGAAGACTTGATCATTATTGTTATTTCAAAGTAGGGAAGAGACAGAAGTTCTCACTGATATGAGGGCCTAGCCCCAGTCTTCCCCAACCCGCTCAGCTGCCCAATAACTGTGCGGCAACCCTCCTTGCCCACAGTGTTTCACCTTTCTCCTGCCGGAGGCCCAACAGTGTCCTAGGGAGCGCAAGGGCTGTGGGAGGCTGCCCTCTGCTGTCCACCTGGTTTCAGACCACCGCAGCCCTAGCTGGACTTCTGTGCCTATATTGCCATCTGGTGGTCCACATAGGCATTGCTGCCAGACTCAGTAGCTCAGCTTTGGTATCTATTTGGCAGTCCTTCGAGATGGAAGGGAGGAATCTCTCCCATCTGGTATCTGTTTCTGGGTTGCACACAATCTCCCCATATGCCAGCCAGGACTTCTGGAGAAAGCATATCTGGCCATACTTCAAGCAGTGAACAGAAAGCCCCTAGAGTAGGTGAGGGGTAGGAAAGATGGGAAGGGGAGTGCTGGAGGCTAACTTGCCTGACCTGGACTTGTGAGGACCCCTCCACATTTGCCCCACTGTAGCCCACTCACAGTGTGCCTGACTTACAAAACCTTCAGGGGTCGGCACTGTGGCGTAGAAGGTAAAGCCACTGCTTCCAGTGCCAGCATCCCATATGGGCACTGGTTCGTGTCCAGGCTGCTCCACTTCCAGTCCAGCTCTCTGCTATGACCTGGGAAAGCAATAGAAGATGGCCCAAGTCCTTGGGCCCCTGTACTCGCATGGGAGACCTGGAAGAAGCTCCTGGCTCTTGTCTTTGGATCGGCACAGCTCCAGTTGTTGTGACCAGTTGGGGAGTGAACCAGTGGATGGAAAACCTCTCTTTCTCTCTCTCCTTCTCTCTCCATGTAACTCTCTCAAATAAATAAATATCAAAAAAAAAAAAACAAAAAACTTCAGCCCCTCACAGCATCCATAGCATTTGCTGTTGATAAGAGCCAATAACACATTTCTCTGTGTCCTTTTTTTCTCACTGGACCTACAGTTTGTGTGTTTTTTTTTTTTTTTTTTTTTTTTTTTTTTTGAAAGGAAATCCAACAGGGGAAAGCAAGGCCATAAAAGGTACCTCTAACAGCAGGCAGAAGTGGGAGTGCCAGTGCTGGATCAAGGGCGCAGTGGTGGGTTTTTGGCACAGAGGGTAAGCTGCTGCGTGGGACACCTACATCTCATAATCCAGCGACTCCACTTCCAATCGAGCTCCCTGGTAATGTGCATCTGAGAGATTCAGATGGAGTTTCTGACTCCTGGCTTAGCCTGGCCCAGTACTAGCTGTTCATGCATTTGAGGAGTGAACCAGTGGATGGAATCTCATGTGTGTGTGTGTGTGTGTGTGTGTGTGTGTGTTGTTCTGCCTGTCAAATAAGAATGAAAGGGATGGGCATTGTAGAAGAGCAGGTTAAGCCACCGTCTGCGATGCTGGCATCCCCTTTGGGCACTGGTTCAAGACTCAGCTGCCTGACTTCCAATCCAGCTCCCTGCTAATGGCCTGGGAAAGCAGTGGAAGATGGCCCAAGTGCTTGAGACCCAGAAGAAGCTCCCGACTCCTGGCTTCAGACTCCTGGCTTCAGCCTCTTGCAGCCATTTGGGGAGTGGGCCAGTGGATGGAAGATCAATCTCTCTCTCTCTCTCATTTTATTTGAAAGGCAGAGTTACAGAGAGAGAGAGAGAGACACCTATCTTCCATCCACTGATTCGATTCTCAAATGGCCACAATGCCCAGAGCTGGGTTGGACCAAAGCCAGGAGCTGGGAGTTTCTAGGTCTTCCAAGTTAGGTAGCACGGTCCCAAGCATTGGGCCATCCTCCATTCCTTTCCCAAGCACATTTGCAGGGAGATGGATTGGAACAGGGGCAGCCAGGAATCGAACTGGTTCCCATATGGGATGTCAGCACTGCAGGCAGCAGCTTAACCTGTTACACCACAGCACTGGCCCCTGAAAATAATTTTTAATGCTTATTTTTTTTTTAATCTGCTTGAAAGGCAGAGTGACAGAAAGAGAGAGACATGAGATGTGAGTCCCACGAGCCGTGGCTTAACTGCTGTGCACAACACTCTCCCCTGAAAATAAAGTTTTCCAAAAATGTTTGAAAACAATCAAGAGGTATAGAGAAGCAGCCACGGGCTTCTCCAGGAGACCCTGAAACGGAGCCCCAGGCTGAGGCGATGACAAAGGAGAAGCCTCCTCAAGCCTCTCAAGAGGAAGTAGACCCGAGAGCCGTGCACGGAGGTCAGAGAGCAGCCACGCACAAGGAAAAACAGCAAAGGAGCTGCAGCGAGCTTCTGAGGCCGGCAGCCCAGGGCACAGGAAACCGGAGGCAGAGCTTCAGGGCGGGGGCGGGGCGTGGGGGCCGCAAAGTGCCAGCCTGAGCCTCTGGCAGCGCACAGCAGCTGGAAGAGAGGCACCGGAGCCACCCATGGGGACAACTGCCGGTTCCTGGGGCCGCAGCCAGCCTGGGCCTGGGGTGCAAGACCCATAGCCAGCCCAAGCACCTTGGCCAAGCCCAGGCAGGTGGAAATGGAGCCAGGCTATTGCCAAGGCTGAAAACTCACATCATCAGCACTTGGGTGACCGCACGGACGCTGTGCAGAATCCTAGCCACTGAGCATTCTTGGGCCCAGGACACAGGCTCCCTGTGCAGCTTGCTCCCAGAACCCATCAGCACTTCCTAAACCCCCCAACAACACCCTTGGGCTCTGGGAGGGGCGGGGCTAGAGAAGGAACTGACCGCCCCTGGGGGTAGGTGGAGCCCAGCTTGAGGGGGACCCTGAAGAAGGCGTGTCCAGGGTGGAGCCCACAGCAGGCTGGGGGTCAGCACTGGAAGAGGGCTTGCTGTGTGCACTCTGGCTTGGCACTTCAGCTTGCACAGAACTTTCTGAAAGTCAGAGGGAGGAGGACATTCAGAGTGAGGTGTTGCCCTCAGTGAGGATCTGCAGTCCCCTGGGCACAGCAGCGTGGGGGGTGGGGTGGGACCCCATTCCCAGAAGCATCAGCTCCGGGCTTGTCCAGAACCCTGGCTTGCACCTGGCCCAAGAGTGCCCCCAACTGCTAACTGGGCCAGGGGCCCTCTTTCTCGGAAGCCTTCATCCTTCCCCCTGGGGTGTGCCCTGCCCCTCCCTGAGTCACCCCAGGGAGAGAGGGGGGGAAAAAGGGAAGAGAAGAGAGGCATCGACTGCAGAGGAAGGAAAAGGAAGCAGAGCAGAGGAGGGAGGAGAGAGGCCACGCGGGAGCCCAGAGAGGACAGCTCTGGGGCAGATCTCGGGCAGGGGGTAGCAGAGGGCAGGCAGGCCAAGCATCCTGAGGGGTGCCCGGGCAGCAGGGCGGGGGCGGGGAGCCCAGGGGGCGGGCCGGCCATGTCCCACGGGACCTACTACGAGTGCGAGCCCCGGGGCGGCCAGCAGCCACTTGAGTTCCCGGGGGGCCGAGCAGGGCCCGGGGAGCTGGGGGACATGTGTGAGCATGAGGCCTCCATCGACCTCTCTGCCTACATTGAGCCCGGGGAGGAGCAGCTGCTCTCCGATCTCTTTGCCATGAAGCCGGCACCTGAGGCCCGGGGCCTTAAGGGACCGGGAAGCCCTGCCTTCCCCCACTACCTGCCGCCCGACCCAAGGCCCTTCGCCTACCCCCCACATACCTTCGGCCCAGACAGGAAGGCGCTGGGACCTGGCATCTACAGCAGCCCAGGGAGCTACGACCCCAGGGCTGTGGCTGTGAAGGAGGAGCCCCGGGGGCCAGAGGGCAGCCGAGGTGGCAGCCGGGGCGGCTACAATCCCCTGCAGTACCAGGTGGCACACTGCGGGCAGACGGCCGTGCACCTGCCCCCGACCCTGGCAGCACCAGGCCAGCCCCTGCGCGTCCTCAAGGTAAGAGCTGCTTCCCTTGGGCTGGGGCGGGGTCCCGGCTGACATTCGAGTCTGTGTTTAGTACTGTTCGCTGAAACTGCCCCACTCCCAAGTCCTCAGTGCTCGCCGCTGGGCCATGACCCTGCTCTCTGCACCCGGACCTTCCATCCTAGTGGCTGCTGATGCCCCCCCCCACCATGCCCCCTCCTCTTGCTCTCCGATTCCTACTTCTAGAAGAGGAAATGCCTCTGATCACAGAATGGGAGACAGAGTGCCAGGGGTTTGGGTCACCGACAGAGCACTTGTGTCCCGGGGCCACAGAGTGATGGCTGCTTTGGCCTGGCTCTAAATTCTCTATTCTGTCCATGCCCCAAGGGCTCCCTGGCCACAGTAGGGGGTGGTGGGGTGGGTGATCCCCTGCCCCACCTCCACTCTACCCCCTGGGCTCACCCCTCCAACCCTCTGTGCCTTCCCCTGCAGGCCCCCTTGGCCACCACCGTGCCCCCCTGCAGTCCCCTCCTCAAGGCGCCCTCCCCGGCTGGCCCCTCGCACAAGGGCAAGAAGGCAGTGAACAAGGACAGCTTGGAGTACCGGCTGCGGCGGGAGCGCAACAACATCGCCGTGCGCAAGAGCAGGGACAAGGCCAAGCGGCGCATCCTGGAGACACAGCAGAAAGTACTGGAGTACATGGCGGAGAATGAGCGGCTGCGCAGCCGCGTGGAGCAGCTCACGCAGGAGCTGGACACCCTGCGCAACCTCTTCCGCCAAATCCCCGAGGCCGCCAACCTCATCAAGGGCGTCGGAGGCTGCAGCTGACTGTGGGCACCAGGCAGGGCCCCAGAGCCCGAGTCTGGGACATTGACCATGGACAGACGGCAGAGGGGAGGGAAGGCAGGGCAGGACCCCGCACGGTGATGATGAGACTGCTGAATAAAGCCGTGCTGTGCCCAGAGCCTGGGCCTGTTCTGTGTGGGTGTGCACGTGGGGGGAGGCGTTTGTGTGTGTTTTGCACGTGTGGCACGAGAAGCCTAAAAAGCAGGGAATGAGTGTGGCTGGGTCCTTGTGGCTTCCATGCTGGGATGAGTTTGTGGGAATGCTGACCTGTTGCCCACGGCCCAGGGCAACGCCACTCTACCTCCCCAACGCACACCTTCCTCTTCCTCCCTACTCTATCTTTCCAGAAGCTGAAGGCACCCCCGACTGCACACATACACACACACACACAGGACCTGGAGTAGTCTCTGGGCCCTTTCCTCCCAGAGATCCGTGGCTAATCGAAAGGTCCCAGACCTCACAATCCCGCGCCCAGGCCTGTTGGCAGACCTGTCTCAAAGGGATAGGTCTGTGAGCTCCAGCCCCAGACAACAAGGGGAAAAGCCCGAGGGGACTGCCACATTCACCTCCTCCCCGCGTTCTCCAGCTCCACAGCCTCAGACAACCCCAGAGTACTGCTCCCAGCCACCCACCCACTCCCATGCCTCCTCCTCCCCCTGGCACTCTGGTTCTCTAAAGCTCGGTTGTCCACCTAAGACATCAGCCGGGAGAGGCCTGGAGGGCTGCTCTGGACATGTGAACATGGATAACGAGGGGGAGGATGACAGCACTGTCTTCCCCTCAGGACCACTGCCTAAGAGGCACACCAGTGCAGCACGTAGGAGGCTCGGTCTGCTGCTCACTCGTGGTCTGGCTTTGAGCCACTTACTTCTCTCCGTACCCGTTTCCTCATCTGCAGAATGGGCACAAACTCAGCACCCAGCTGGCCATTCTGTTGTATTCGCAGCACACAGGGCCTGGCATGTGGTAAGCAGGAGGCTTTGCAACGATCTCATTTTGCTAGAGGTGAGGGCTCATCTAAACGGCTCATTTTGCAGACCAGGAGACTGAGGCCTGGGCCGGGGGAGGGAACTCACCCAGAGTCGCGCAACTGTTAGAAGGCAGAACCACAAACAGCACCAGAAGTCACCGCCCGCGAGTCAGCGTGAGCCACCTTGTCCGGGTGAAGCAGGGGAGGGCCAGAGGGGGGAAGAGACAGTGCTCTGGCGCCTGCTCTGTCCCTCCGGAGGCTCAAGGACAGACAGCACAGGGCGGGAGGGCGTGTGAACCCTTCAATACATGATCCTGATTGCCTGACAGTGTCAGAGGCCTGGGGACAGAGCAGGGACTAAAGTCTCCAAGGCCACTGTTGGGGAAGCCAGCACTAGACAGCAGAGTGGCTTCTGAGAGGCAGACAGCCTGGGGTTGGGACCATCCCGAGCCCACCCACCCCCAACTCTCCCCCCACACATACACATCCCCAGGGGCAGGCCCTTCCCACATCTCAGGGGGCCATGGGCACCAGGCTTCCCTCAGCCAGGACTCAGTGTCCCTCCTGCCTTTGCCCCCGTGCCTCCCAGAACCGTATCTCCTGCCTCCATGTCCTGGGCCCCGACCCCGGGTATGGCCTGGGCAGACAGATGTGTTTCTTCTGCAGAGGGCCTGAGGGAGCTGCCCGAGTCGGGAAGGGGGAGGTGCTGGCCTCTGTGGGCGCCTGGGAGAATCCCGCACCTTCCTTCCAGCCCAAGGAGATGGGTTGCATAAGGGGGGTTTGCACAGAACACGGAACACGGCGTGACTCAACCTCCGGATTTCCTCCGCTCAGTCCAAGCCCACTGCCCCCTGGCTGGTTCTCAAAGTTCTGGATGGGGGGACACAGGTTGCTTCAGCATCAACACCAAGCTTGTTCCCACAGCTCTGAACTGTGCTCCTCCCAGCCCCCAGCCCCCACCCACCCAGCAGCAACCAGGGAGGTATAGGTTTTTCTAGTTTTTCTGTTCTTTATTTTTTTTAACATATTTATTTGAAAGGCAGAGAAAAAGAGACAGAAAGAGAACTCTCATCACTTTTTTTTTTTTTTTTTTTTTTTTTTTTACAGGCAGAGTGGACAGTGAGAGAGAGAGACAGAGAGAAAGGTCTTCCTTTACCGTTGGTTCACCCTCCAATGGCCGCCGCGGCCGGCGTGCTGCGGCCGGCGCAATGCGCTGATCCAATGGCAGGAGCCAGGTACTTATCCTGGTCTCCCATGGGGTGCAGGGCCCAAGCACTTGGGCCATCCTCCACTGCACTCCCTGGCCACAGCAGAGAGCTGGTGTGGAAGAGGGGCAACCGGGACAGAATCCGGCGCCCCGACCGGGACTAGAACCTGGTGTGCTGGCGCCGCAAGGCGGAGGATTAGCCTAGTGAGCTGCTGCGCCAGCCTTTTTTTTTTTTTTTTAAAGGTTTTCTTTTCTTTTCTAAACTTATCTATTTACTTATTTGAAAGCCGGAGAGAGAAAGAGAGAATTTTCCTTCCACTGGTTCACTCTGCAAATGCCCATAACAGCCAGTGTTGGGCTGAGGCAAAGCCCAGAGTCAGATGGGGCTGATGCTGTGGCGTAGCAGGTAAAGTCATCACCTGCAGTGCAGGCATCCCACATGGATGCCAGTTCGAGTCCCACTTGCTCCACTTTTGATCCGGCTCCCTGCTAATGTGCCTGAGAAAGCAGTAGCAGATGGCCCAAGTCCTTGGGCCTCTGCACCTGTGGGGGAGACCCAGGAAAAGCTCCAGGTTCCTGGCTTCGGATTGGCCCAGATCCAGCCATTGCAGCCATTTGAGGAGTAAACCAGTGAATGGAAGACCTCTCTCTCTCTCTCTCTCTGCTTCTGTAAATCTAACTTTCAAATAAATATATAAATCTTTCTTAAAAAAAAAAAAAAAGAGCCAGAAACTCCTTCTGGGTCTCCCATGTGGGTGGTAGGAAGCTTACGCACTTGGGTCCCGCATCCCTGGGTGTATTAGCAGGGAGCTGGATTGGAAGCAGGGGAGCCGGCACTCAGACTGGCTGGCTGAGAAGAGATGCAGACACTCCGAGTGGCGGCTTAACCAGCCGCGCCACAGCACCCGCCCTGGTAGCTGCTTTCTGCCACATCTCCGTCTCCCCAGTGCGATCCCACATGGTATGACGTGGAGCAGCCCAGCACACACCTGTCCCTCTGTCTGAGCATATACGGTCAGAGGGGCACTTCCTGAAGCAGCGTCTCAAGCTGACTTCAACTGCTTTCCACCAAAGAAACTCGTTCTCCGAGTATTTGTGGAGCATCTTTCCTGTGGACAGGTGCTCAGCTGAAGGAGCAAGAAGAGAAAGCCAGTGGCCAGGTGTGCTGAGTATCTCCCTCGGCCCCGGCACATCCTCTCTGCACCCTTCATCTCCCCAGGCAGTCCTCAGACAGCTGCCTCCCCCCAACACCAGCAGGCTTCCAGCTGCGTGGAGGGAGGGGGGACAGGAGAAGGAAGGACGCTTCTCACTGCCCCTCACAGGCTGCCCCAGCCCTGCCCTCACAGCACAGTCCGAGGAGGGCAGTGCCACCCACGGGAGTGCCGGCCCGGCACGTTACCTGAACCCTACGCCTTTACACCTTCACCCATGACTCCCTTTGAGTATGCCCACTGGGAAAACCGAACGCACAAGCAGGTAGGGAGGTGATTTTAGCTGGGGATGAGAAAGTGACACTTAGGTTGAAACCTAAAGACTGTCCAGGAGGCAGATGCGTCGTGGAAGGGAAAGATGAGCAGAGGGGAGAGCAAATGCAGAAGCCCTCGGCGGGTTAGGCGGGTGTCCCGGTGGTCAAGGCAAAGAAAGGAAGCTGTGCGTGGCTGCTGGGAAGAAGGAACAAGCAAGAAAACCAAACAGCGTGCTCCAGCTCAGAGCTGCCCAGTGAGGAGGCGGCGGCGGGAGGAGGAGGAGGAGGAGGAGGAGGAGGAAGGCTTCCTTGCCCTTGCCCCTCCTCTCACCTTCACTGCTTGGCTGAGCTGCCCTCCTAAGGAAAGGAGCCCAGGGAAGGGCAGTTGGCCAGAGCCCCGCCTGGAGAAAGGCAGCTTGAACCCAGCAAACCAAGCACAAGCCATTCCTATCGCTTTGGATGCGCGGCTCAGGCTCAGCCCATTTTTCCGGCCTGAGCAGAACTGACACCCAGCAGCAGAGTCCTGGGCTGAGAGAGAGACCCTTGGGCCACAGGGAAGCTGTGAAGGAGAAGGAAGGCTGCGGGGAGATACCACGAAGAGGCCGGGCGGAAGCTGCCCAAGGTGAGTCTGCCAAGGTCAGGCGGCCTTGGCTTGTGAAAGCAGCCCCTCCCCCGCCCGTGCACACCTCCCCCCAGCAGATTGCTACACCCCCGGCCCCATCCCAGTGTTGCAAGATCCCGGCTGGGGTTATGGGTGGAAAGGGGCCTCTTCACCTCCACCCCCCACCCTGCCTCAGGCCGAGGTAAGGACTACAGGATGGAAAGGGCTGCATGGGAGACACCAGGGCTGGCTGAGGGCCTGTGCACCTCGCCTGGGACGCCCTCACCAGCCCCCAGAGACGGAGCCTCCTCTCAGGACTAGCGGGAGCCCACCAGCCTGGACAGGACTCCCGGCTGGCCTTTGTCCACTGCTACCAGCAGGCCCAGCCGGGTCTGAGGACCTCAGTGGCATATGGGAATTTCTCCCTGGCTGGGGGGGGGCGTTTTTCCAAGGAAAATGCCTCCCACTTGACTACATCGGCAGTGCTGACTTCAGGGAGCAGTGGAGGGGCCCTGGGACCTGGGAAGGGACGGCTTCCTAACAGGAGACCCTCCCACTGAGCTGGGGCCTCCCACTTCTCTTTGAGAAAGAAGCCCAGCTCAGGTGGGCAGAGCAACCATCGCTCACAGCCTACAAAGCTCAACCTCCCCCGAGGGCCCAAACTGTCCAGCCCCTGTTGCCACCCACACCTAGCGCTGTCACCCCTGGCCAGGCCATCCAGCCCTGCTGCAATCGGGACGGTTTGCAAAACGCCTGCTGGCTCCCGCTTTGTCACCATCTGAGGTTAGGACTGCACTCAGGAGATAAGCCCAGGCCCCACGCGCCAGACAAGCGCTCAAGACAGCTGGCCTGCTGCAATCGGGA